GAAAATTTACACATGGCACCACGCACTCAGCGTACTTCTTACAGTATCATCTTTTGCAGGCAAATCGAATCTTTTCTGATGACAACGATTCAGACGACAGATCTTCTCTACTCTGCGCTGGCAGAAGGAGAAAGAAGAGGAATCAATTGGAAAGCGCTGGTGACAAAAGCGTGGCCGACATGACGGTACTTCACTAATTATTGATCGATATCGATTGCCGCTTGCTATCAGGAATCAATACTGCTTAATTCTGATTCAGGACAAAGAAATCCTTACAACGATGCTGCATGTGATGACTCAGTCCATGGAAACGGATCCGATCCCGCAGAAAGCTATGAAGGTGCAGGACATTCCTTTAATCACTGAAGCACCTCGGTCAATTGACAAGGTCAATTGTAACGACAATCAAAATTCGAACGAATTTCTTAGTTAAAAGACTAGGAAAAAATTAGTAGTGGAATTTCTTGGCACTGGACCCCCCCTTAATACCAAATACCAAATGCGCTGAATTGTTCTCGAAATTTGAGTACATTGGACTGGACTTCTAATTCCAAGGGTAACCTGACCCAAGGGTGCCCGACAGGAGGCCCGTCGCGCGGCAAGAAGGCAGAGTCAGCGGACGAGTCGCAGCGCGTGGTGTGCGATGTAGGACGTGCAATGGGACATTCTATTTAACTTGACGCGAAATCCTACAGTACGCGCTGCGACTCGTCCGCTGACTCTGCCTTCTTGCCGCGCGACGGGCCTCCTGTCGGGTACCCCCTGACCCAGAGACGACATATGGGAACACCGTATCCATATGGTATCAAAAATTCTGGCAGAGCCACAGACGCCGTCGCTATCACACCTGTCTGAAGCAAGCGCCCATGGCGCGCACATCAGCCGTTTCGGGACGCACAAAATAATTGTGATATTCATTTTCGGCGTCGAACTACTCCTTGCTATATCTTATAGCCTTATTTACGCTATGGACAAAATTAGAGAAAAATGCAATCAGGGCGTCATTGTGGTGTGTGGTCTGCACTCGACGCTCTTCTCGCGTCCCGAAATGGAGGGTAAATAATTAAGACTTTCTTAGTAAGCAGCTTGCAAATTTCAGGATCACGGCGTGAATACCCAGCCACATACGTACATATCTTGCGGTGTGTCCACTCAGCCCGTCTCCTACAGAACTCAATCCATTGAAACCGATATTCATGACGTCATCAATCGAAGTGTTGAAACGGACGATGCGATGCTGCTCGAGAAAAGTATGGAGACATCCAGGTATGTCAACGTTCATTCCGTTCGTCTCATGTACTCCTTAATGACCTAAGAAAAGCCCCTATTTCCAGCGTTTCTAGTGATATCCTTCCCTTTTCTTTTTACTATCGTTCTACTTGACAACTCTGTTCTCATTTCCAGCAAAATAACCATACAAATTTGATCGTGGCCTGTACCTTTAAGTACGCACCTGTCGCGTTGTCATGGATTGCTGCGAGTCCCTCATTAGTGGTATGGATAAGGTAGACGGCTCCAATACCCTTACGCACTTTTGCTTACGTGTAATGTGTACGATTATTCCGTCCTTCTCCCTTTGTGGGACTTCCGGGTCCTATCAACTTACAAATGTGACGTTCCTTCGCACCATACCTAAAGTAGCATTGGCTTGTCAAACTCGCTTCTTTCCTTCCTTCTGCCTTTTCTTATATTCGCTCGATTCCAATACATGACTTTTGGGAGCAGTGAGGAAATGACTTTTGACTTTCTGCCAGTATCTTTGCATTTTCAGAAGCGAATGTGTGGACGCCGCAAACGACGCCCTCTCGTGGGCGGAGAAAGTCGGTTGTTTTTTTTTTTTTTTTTTTTTTTTTTTTTTTTTTTTTTTTTTTTTTTTTTTTTTTTTTTTTTTTTTTTTTTTTTTTTTTTTTTTTTTTTTTTTTTTTTTTTTTTTTTTTTTTTTTTTTTTTTTTTTTTTTTTTTGCGGGTACATGGAGGG